GAGGAGAAAAAAACGGTTTGTTGTGGTGAGGTGGGTGCGGCGTTTAGCGCAGGGTCTTTGGTGTGCCCGGGGCCGCGCTGGGTGAGATTTTACCTCTTTCACCAGCTCTGTAAAGCTTATTTTTGTCATCGAAGTGCAGCACGGCAAAGCGACACAGAAACCGTAGGAGAAATGAAGCTAACAGCTGTTTTCCTTTCTTTCTTTCTAGTGGTTCTAAGGGCTTTGAAGCACCTGCGCGTTTGAGTGCAGGGCACCCTTCGTTCCCTCACCTTTTGCCTTCCTCGTTTCTGAGGCAATGCCCAAAGTGAAGAGGAGCAGGAAGCCTCCCCCAGATGGCTGGGAGCTGATTGAGCCAACGCTGGATGAGCTGGACCAGAAAATGAGAGAAGGTAGTGATAGGACAAGGGGCAATGGCTTTAAACTGAAAGAGGGGAGATTTAGATTAGATCTAAGGAAGAAATTTTTCACTCTGAGGGTGGTGAGGCACTGGAACAGGTTGCCCAGAGAAGCTGTGGATGCCCCATCCCTGGAAGTGTTCAGGGCCAGGTTGGATGAGGCTTTGAGCAACCTGGTGTAGTGGAAGGTGTCCCTGCCCATGGCAGGGGAGTTGGAACTAGATGATCTTTGAGGTCCCTTCCAACCCAAACCATTCCATGATTTTGTAAGGTGAGTGGCAGAGCTGGGTGTTCTCAGGTGTGCGACCCTGAAACAAGCTAATCCTGAACTGCTTTGTGAAGCACCGCTTCCCCATGAATAGGGACTGACCTTTTTTGTATCTCTGCCTCATAGTGATGCTTCAGATAGGGACTCGGCCAATGCTGGTTGTTTTTGTCTGGGTGTGCACTGGTTACAGAGCACAGATGTTTGGTGTGCAGTTGTTTTAGGGCATGCTGTGGCTGAGCCCCAGCTGATGCTTGCTGGTGTACCTGGGGTAGTACTGTGTGGGGACTGGTAGTTCTCGTCCGTGCCGTTGCTCTGGTCTGACAAGCCAGGGCAGCTGTGAAGTCACCTGCCATCCCAGTGTGGGTCAAGTCATCCCCACTGTCATTCTGGTTTTATTTCCTAAAGGAGCTGTTCCAGGTCAGGTCCCTTTCGTTGGAATCTTCTCCCATTAAGCTGAGTCTTTTTTCCATAATGTATTAAAGTTATGAATGTTCCTGGAACAGTTTATTGCAAAGTGACTAAGGAAATAAGTGGGCCATCTGGAATGGTCAGCTGAAACCTGGTATTTGTTTTCCCCCCCAGCGGAGACCGAGCCTCACGAAGGGAAGAGGAAAGTGGAATCCCTTTGGCCCATCTTCAGAATTCATCACCAGAAAACACGTTACATCTTTGATCTCTTCTATAAAAGAAAAGCCATCAGCAGAGGTGAGGGACACAAACGCTTTACACTGGGCAGGGGAAAAAGAGAGTGGAGTAAGATGTCTGCCTGCGGGTGCGCCTCAACTGGGGCACTGGGGGGAAGGGAGGGAAGGCTGGCAGCTGCCTGGCTTTAACTGCTAGTTACTACAGCTAGTAATTCCTGATAGTGAGTTGTCTTATACTTCCTGAGAGACATTTGTGATGGCGTCTGCTCCTCTGCAGAGCTCTACGAGTACTGCATCAAGGAAGGGTACGCTGACAAAAACCTGATTGCAAAGTGGAAGAAACAGGGCTACGAGAACCTCTGCTGCCTGCGGTGTATCCAGACACGGGACACCAACTTTGGAACCAACTGCATCTGCAGAGTCCCCAAAAGCAAGCTGGAAGTGGTAAGGGTTTCCAGATTCTTCCTCCCCTTGTCTGGACCCTCGCAGTACCCGGTCTAACTCGCCCCAGGTCAGAGACAGCAGAGGAGGTCGTAATTCTTGGTAATTTCCTCTAGTTTTAGCAGTTTCTATCTTTGCTGGTAGAGTTGGATTCCAGCTGGTTCTACAGTTACTGTCAGCTTTGGCATGCAGTTGTTTGGAGTTGTTAAAGTGTGGAAACAACAGAAAACTAGAAACCCTTCCCACACAGAGCTGTTCTCTGCCTTGAGGCTCGTGCCTGCTGCTCTGTCTGCTCACGCCCCTTGGCTGAAACGCCCTCCTCGTGTTTCTTTTCCAGGGGAGAATCATTGAGTGCACTCACTGCGGATGCAGAGGCTGTTCTGGCTGAAGCCATTAGCCATAAGACTACTTTTTGAGCTCTGAGGGATCCCTTTCTACACCACGGACTACTAGTGCAATGATAGCCACCTCCTGTGCAATTGCTATACAGAAATATCCAATTAAACCAGCAACACGTTCATCTGGAGCTTATATACAATGGTGGTTGTTTTGAGTAGCTTTTTGTGTAGCCCTTTATTTTAAAATAAAGTCTGCCCTCCTGAAAGCGTGGTTCGATCTTCTGGCAAAATATTCCTGTGCTCCTCTTCTCCTGTTGGATGTGTTTTGTTTGTTTTTTTGTTTTGTTTTAAGGTTGTTCTACACACTGAGAGGTGTTCTAAGTGTGGGTTGGTTTTTAACCAGCTCTTACCCTTCTTTCTCAACTAACTGAATTTGAAAGGCTGTGTGGAAAGGAAGTCACACAGGTCTCAAAACTCCAGTCTGATTAGAGTTCTCCCCAATCTTGTGTAGAAGGAAGCTAAATTCCACTGGGACTTCCTGCTAAGGTTTGTAACCTGGAATTAGTGCGCAGATACAGTAAGAATGTCAGCAGTCTAGAGAGACTTACTGGTCACACATTAAGTGCTTCTCCCTTGTTCAGCACAGGGTTTGTTGAACTGCAGCCTCTCTAATCCTTTGCAGCTCAAGGAAATTCACGGAACACGTATTTGCTTCTCCTTAAAACACAGGACAAGTATTTTATTTAGTAGTTACTGGATTCACGGAAATAGGAAGCAGCTTTACTACAGGACAGTTCAAAGAAGCAAGTTCCACCTTCTTCCAGCACAAAGGATTCAAGACTTCAGCATCCTGCTCACTGCTCCTTTTGCCCTGACTGCTCCTTCTGCCCTGGCTGCTCCTGCACAGCCTCGTCCTTACTGGCCTCTGCTGCAGGTTTTGCTGTTCTGTACTTTTCCCAGGGGTGGGGAGTCTCCTCTCCTGCCATTACTTTTAACCACCGATAGTAGTAGCCACGGAAACCATCAATTTTCTCCAGATACGGGTTCTTTGACTTGTACTGCAAACACAAATCCAACAAAACGAGTTCCTATTAGAAGGGAGCTCACTTCAGCAGCAGCATGCAATAGCTACAAGCTGCTACTGAAGAAACAGACAGCCCCACCAGACAACCCCAAAGGAAAAAGACTTAGGCAGACATCTCTGTTTCTCCTCCCTTGTTGGTGTCCCCTGTGATGCCTTCGCACCGTGACCACTCACAGCTCCTTACCCTGTCGAATTTCGGAGGGTACCGTGCTGCGAACTCCAGCTGGCGTATGATCACTTCATTGGGAGGCACCTGGTTATTCCTCATGTCTCGCAGGATCTCCGTGAGGTACCTGTAATCCAGCTGCCTCACAGCACCAGCAATGAGGGTGCTGTAGATGTACTTGTTGGGAGTTACTCCAGACCTCTGGAAACAACAGACACTGAGTTAAGCTCCTGTGACTGGCACAGGATTTCTAGAAGGAGAATGCACACAAGTATGTCTTAGACGAGGAGCAAGGCTCTCGATCCAGAACCAGCAGTTTCTGTGGTGCCAGCACACCCCTTCCCGTAAGCCCTCTCCAATCCCAGCACAGGTCTAGGACAGACCACTGGAGCCAGGAGGTACTCTAGAGCTGCACGTTTTCGGACCGATACCACCACCACTCAACACAGAACCCTCAGCAGGTCTGCTCAGAAGCATTAAGGCTTCACTCTGCCTCCTCCTGCAGCTCGAGCCCCATGCAGCAGTTTGTTACCTTCAAATCTGAGAGCAGCTGCAGCCCATCCTTCTCCTGGCGGCAAGCGATGGCCAAGTTGCAAAACGTCTGGAGGTTGGGTGACAGTCCCCTCTTCACTAGAGCTGGCAGCACACTCTGCAAGATATAGGATCATGGAATGGTTTGGGTTGGAAGGGACCTCAAAGATCATCCAGTTCAACCCCCCTGCCATGGGCAGGGACATCTTCCACTACACCAGGTTGCCCAAAGCCCCATCCAACCTGGCCTTGAACACTTCCAGGGATGGGGCATCTACAGCTTCTCTGGGCAACCTGTACCAGTGCCTCACCACCCTCAGAGTGAAAAATTTCTTCCTTATATCCAATCTAAATCTGCCCTCTTAAAATACAAGACACAAGTGTTGACATCAGTTTCCAAAAAGTCTCACTGCAGCTTTCCAGACAGAGAGCTGAAGGTGCTAGAACAGAATCTATAACTACTCAGAAATTAACCCAAGCACTGGTTTGTGGAAAGCAATGCGAGATTCCCCAGTTTCTATTGTAGATGGAGAAACAGGTCTCACAGCAAAGCACAGGAGGCCTGAGACAAGGTGATGGAGACAGGGCTGGTTTTTTCTCACCTTTGCTCCTTCCAGGTCTCCCTGTTTGCTTTTCTTCCTTATTAAAGTGTTAAAGAAAGTCACATCTACTTTCACTTTATGCTCATCTAGGAGTGCCAGCAAAGAGGACTCTGAGGGGCTGTGGGGTTCCACCAGTTCAGCCAGTAATGTGAACGTTTTAATGTTGGGTTCTGCGCCATCCTCTTTCATTTTGTTCAAGAAGCCCTCCACGTCCCCCATCAGAGCCAGTCTATCTGACCGTGTGGCCACTGTCCCCAGGGAAACTACGGCTGCGTCAGACATCCTGGAATCCAGCAGGTTGGGCAGGGAATGCTGCTTCTGTTCCTGCTCCAACTCGTTCTGGCCTCTCCTCACCAACGCTCCAGTCCTGCTGTGAGCCACGCTGGTGCTGCTGGGACCAGCTGCTTCTGTTTCAGCCTGATTCACATGGCTGTTTTGTTGCTGGATCAGTTCTCCAGGCTGTACCCAACTCTCCTGAAACAACTGCTTTTCCAGAGCTTCCACGTCCAGCTGCACAGCAGCCACACTCTCTGATCCCTTCTTCCTCTGACTTTTCCCCTTTTCCTTCTGCCTGCCGGGTGCAAGCCTTAGCTGAGATGAGTTCTCCCGGGCGGGTCCAAGCAGGAGTCCCGAAGCCACGACCGGATCGCCTATCCCACAGTCTCTCGCAGCGCGCAGCATCAAATTGTAAGAGTGGCTGTCGGCCTTTATTCCGAGTTCAGCCATTTGTCTCCAAACCTGCAGGAGGGAAGACGAACACCAGGTATAGGTGACATTAAACAACAGGAGCGTATCTGCCAGGCCCTCTGTGACAGTATTTACTTGCACAATCACAGAACGGTTTGGGTTGGAAGGAACCTCAAAGATCATCCAGTTCCAACCCCCCTGCCATGGGCAGGGACACCTTCCACTACACCAGGCTGCTCAAAGCCTCATCCAACCTGGCCTTGGACACTTCCAGGGATGGGGCAAAAGGAACAAGTTTATGATATGATGAGGTGAGACGCCACTGGACAGTGAGCAGCCACTCGGAGCTAGCACAGTCCTGTGAGATCATCCAGGGCGCTTTGCCGGAGTACGAGACATCCTGATGGAAGTGAAGTTTACAGAACTTCTCCCAGGAGTGCTGAGCTACTCCTGTTCCATCAGTGCTGCCTTCCATGCATTTGCACAGCGAGTTACAGCACAGAAGTGCCTTCTCCTCCCGACTCAGAACATGAAGACAAACCTGTAAGGCATATCGGAAGCCATTTTCACTGTCCTTTATGCAGCTCATGAGGAGGAAGCTGAAGGTCTCGGCTGTGAGAACATGGCCCTTGTTCACAATTTCCTAAAAGAGCAGAGAGAGCATTAAATTTCCCAGTTCCCCAAACAGTCTGTCCCAGCTGGCTGCGAAGCTCAAATACCACCGTTGTCTTCTGCAGACACAGCAGCAACACAGAGCTGGGTGACCTCCCAGTGCTGTGAGCAGAACAGCTCCAGGGCTGAAAAAAGAACCTGCGTAGATCCCAGCTTCTCCCTTACAGGAGCTTCAGGGAACTGGGAGGCAGGAACAGCAATCCTTTTAGCAACCCCCAGACTGGCCCTGCTGAAAGCTCTCACAGGAACTGGGTATCAAGATGTGGGTCTTCAAGACAAAGCCAGCCAGACACAGGAGCTGCGAGCCCCACAAAAACTCTCTTTGTTCAGTCTTTAATCCACCTGACCAGAGTTCCAAAGCCAAACTCTGCAGCTGCCTCCTTTTATACACTTAATGTTTGGTGTGTAACGAGACCATTTCATTCTCTGAGACCAAGGACCAGTGAAATACCAACACGTGATCCGTAACCACCTCTGCTGGAAATGAAATAAAAAAGTCTGTACCACAGGGCAACCTCCAGGAGCGTTAGCCGAAGCACACCACACTTAAGGGCAAAGTCAGGTATTTACCTTCACCACCTCAAAGCACATCCTGAGGTCTGAGCAGAGGGCGCAGACCTTCAGCAGTGCGTGGTATGTGATCAAGTTCAGCTCCTCGTTCTTGCTCTTGAGCTGCTGCCGTAGTTTGAGCGCGCTCTGCAGCCCCGAGTCCTTCCACGGCGACTCGGCACAGGCGTTGAACAGGGCTGTGTACGTGGCCTCGGTGGGAGCTAAGCCTCGTTTTTTCATCTAAGGGAAGAGAAGAAGAATTAGAACTGGCTTTTTAGGAAAGGAATTCTAGAATTTCATAGAATCACAGAATGGTTTGGGTTGGAAGGGACCTCAAAGATCATCTAGTTCCAACCCCCCTGCCATGGGCAGGGACACTCTCCCCTACACCAGGTTGCCCAAAGCCTCATCCAACCTGGCCTTGAACACTTCCAGGGATGGGGCATCCACAGCTTCTCTGGGCAACCTGTTCCAGTGCCTCACCAGCCTCAGAGTGAAAAATTTCTTCCTTATATCTAACCTAAATCTGCCCTCTTTCAGTTTAAAGCCATCACCCCTTGTCCTGTCACTACACGCACTTGTCCAAAGTCCCTCTCCAGCTTTCCTGTAGCCCCTTTAGGCACTGGAAGGCTGTTGGAAGGTCTCCCCGGAGCCTTCTCTTCTCCAGGTTGAACAGCCCCAACTCTCTCAGCCTGTGTCCAGAGCAGAGGTGCTCCAGCCCTTGGATCATCTTTGTGGCCTCCTCTGGACCCACTCCAGCAGCTCCATGTCCTTCTTGTGTTGGGGACTCCAGAGCTGAATGCAGTAATTTAGTTTTCATAATTTAGTTTTAAGAGTATCGAGCTAAAAAGATGCAAACACCCACTCAAAGGTGTTTTGGAGACAAAGTGACGTGGCCAAACGCTTCGAAGAGTTTTAGCTTGGAGAACCTGGTGAAGGTTTGAGAAGAGAGAACGTGAACCTACGTCGTTGTAGAGCCTGAACGCCTTTTTCACGTAGCCGACCCGGCCCCCCCCGCCGATGAGAACGGTGTAATTGCTTTCTTCCGGCTGCACGCGCTCTTCCTTCAGCATCTGCACCTCGAACAGCTCCAGCGCCTCCGCCAGCTGCACGGAAAGGGAAAATCCATGATGGAGCAGCACCAGCATCAATCACAATGGCTGCTAATAAACGTGGCAGCGGGCAGGCTGTGGGCGAAAGGACGGAACACGGGATTCCTCACAAATTCGCACTCTCCTTCTGTCTGTAAAGGTGCTGAGCGCCAGGACAACGCGGATGGGACAGAGCTGACCTTTCACCAACGCTATCCCGAACCAACGGAGCCGAGAGCCGGGAACGCACCTTGTCATCCCTGAGGAGGGCCTTGCATTTTAGGAAGTACCAGTACGGGGTGTTCTTGCGACGGCGCCGAGGTCTTCTTTCCGGTTCTTCCTCGCCCCCTTCTTGGAGCTTTAAGTTCTGCGAGCGTGATGTGCTTTTGCGGTAATATTTTCGAGAAGAAAATTTATTAGACAGCGTCCCGAACTCCACGCCTTCATCCTCCTCCTCCTCCTCCTCCTTGCCAACAGCTTCAGCGCAGCTGCCACCATCGATCGCTCTCAGGTCGCCACCGGGCAGTTTGCAGGACGCCTGTGACGAG